ACAAGGGGTAATGGTTTTTGAAGTAAAAGAGGGTCGATTTAGATTGGACATAATGAAGGGTGCTTCACAATGAGGGCTATGGAATACTGGAACAGAGTGCGCGGAAATGTGGCAGATGCCCCATCCCTGGGAACATTCCAGGTCAGGTTGGACAGGGCTCTAAGCAACCTGATCTGGTTGAAGATGTCACTACTTGCTGCACTAGCTGGACTTTAAAGATCCCTTCCAACCCAAACCATTCTATGATTCTGTGAGTGTACAAGTTTCTGGACATCTCCAGGAGATAAGCAATTCCCTGGGGAGGTGCAAGTCCCTGGAGTTGTTTGAGGAATCCCAGACTCTTTCCCTGCTGCATGCCCTCACTCCTGCCCCACACCCTCACACCTGCCCCTTTCTACCTGCCTGAGCTTGACAGGGTGACTTCCAGCATGATAGAAAGTATCAGGGTTTGGGATGTGTTCCCCTCCACACACCCCCACCATTGTTATTACAGTCATTACTAGTTTTTAATATAAATACATATATTAATTTAGATATATATATATATACACACACAGTATAGTTATGCAATACTTGGCATGGATCATGTTCAACCCCTGCAGAGATGAAGCCCACCTGAGGAAGCTCAGAGTGGTGCCAACTGCTGCAGAACTCAGTGGTTTTTCAAATTCAGTTTTTTCTTTTTTTCAGATCCTTGGGAAGATGAAGTCCAGGATACCATAATGCAGTCTTGGGACAACAGGTCTGTGCACCCTTTTCTGAGGGCACATGGGACAGCACACCATTCCTACTCTCTCACTGTGGATCTCACTGCCCCACAAGGAAAATGAAGTATTATTTTCATTTTATGGTGAAACTGAGGCACAGAGGGTCAAACCAAATGCCTGTGGCAAACCAAGGTGCAGTCTCATCTCTCTTCAACTCCAGCTCAATTTAAACTGGCAAAAATATCCTCCATCTGCATTTCTTCCTAATTGCCAGTAATACATTCCACATCCTGGCAAATGTAAACCACTCACTTTCCACGAGGGCATTCAGCCTTAAAAAGTCACTGCAAGAGGGCCTGGCAACAACACAGGGGTGACCCCACAGGTGTGGCCTCACTCCAGGGGAACAGCCAAAGGACCCGGGAATGCTGAGGGCTCTGCTTTCATGCACATACCTCTCTCTTCCTCTCCACATTGTCTCAATGAATAATGCATGAATACACACTCATCACAATCCTAGATACTATATTTATACAAGTACATCAGGGCCAAATTCTGCATTAGTGTAACTCCACTGACGTAAAATGCATTACATTTGTAAAAATGTTGGCCTTAAATATTTTTACCCAAAATAGATGTTTGGCAAACCTTGCTTTACTGCTTTCTGTCAGTTAAAAACCCCTTGTTTCCTGAGTAGGTGAAGTTTAGCTTTGCAATGCCTAGAACATAAGATTTAGATACAGCTAAAACCCAAGCTCTCAAGATTGGGCTTAAATGGGATTTGAATTGTTGGCTGTACAGATATGAAATTCCCTAACCATGAAAATAACCAAAAGTTGCAATCTTGATTTTATCATTATTATAACCTACCTAGGCATTGGGACACATTATAGAGGCTTCTCTAACTTATGTTTTTCCACTTGCAAAAGACATTGTATTTTAGTTACAGTAGTTCCCAACTTCCTCTGAATTGCTGGAGAGGTACTGAAGTTCCATATTTACTTTATTTGGAAATAAAAGGGTA